TCTCCCCATTAGTGGGAGCTGCCCACTGGGAAGGGATAAGGAGGGAGCAAGTAACCCTTTGGAGCAGCAGATGGCATCCTACCCCTCTAAAGCTTCCCAGCACTGGAAAGTGTAATAAATACACAATGGCAAGTGCCTGTGCTCTGCTCATAGCTGCACTCAGCAGCTTGGTACAAAACTGAGGGGTTAGGAATCATTCCTTTACAAATCAAATACTTTCTCTGTTTGTTGTCCCTGTTTTCTGTGATGAAAAGAGATATCTGCAGCTGGTCTGCTCACCCGGATCTGCCCTCATGAAGTGGGCACAGGGAGCTGGCTGGATAAATTTGGGTTAGAATGGGTTGGAACCGGGTGATCTTTAAGATCCCTTACAACCTGTCCTGGTTTAGGGCAAATTTGGGAGAAATTTCCAAAAGGGTCCCTCTAGAAAGCAGAGTCAGTGTCCCCTCCCTCAGCTGGTTCAGGGAAAAAGAAAAGTGGAAAAAAAAAAGTTTATTTAAAAAGCAAAGTATTCCCAAGCATCCAAAATGAATAATATTAAACAAGAAAATATCTTGCTGTTCTGAAGAGATGCAAATTCAGAAAGTCCTCTGCTCACTCAGTCCCTTATCAGTCCCTCCCGTGCTGGCAATGCCAAGTCCTGGGCCCTGGTGGGCCACAGGTGAGAGGTCCCTCTGTTCTTCTTGGTTTCCAGTCCAGAGCAGGGCTGAACAGCTCCAAGAAAAAGAAAAGCCACAGTCTGGGGAACTTCTCTGCCTCAGATAGCTAAAAATTAACTAACTAAAAAACAAAGGACACCTCTCCCCCACTGTCCATGCTGCAGACAGCACAGTCCAGGAAATGGATGCAGGGGAGCAAGTGCAGCTTCTGAAAATAAAGTGGACTCTTCTTCTGCCCCTTCGCTCTTGCAACCAGTCTTAAAGGAGCAGAACTTAATATCCAGCATAAACAGGACAGATGACTGGGGCTACAAGCATCATAAATTCACCCTAGGACACAATCCAAACCATTATTCTATGAAATTGTGCCATAAAGTGCTCACTAGTCTGAATAAAAAGTTATAAAGTCTGGATTGGCTGTCTCAGCTGATGCCTTGTGAAGGCTGACCTAGAACAGAGCTTAGACAGAGCTAAAGAATAAGTAGGGATTTATTAAAACGCCTCAATGGATCCACCCTGGCCAGCACAAGAGCCCAGCCAGGGCTACACCCAAGATGAACCAAAATGGTCACAAAATGGTCATGGGGTCTTTCACTTTTATAAGTTCTGGTCCATTTGCATATTTGGGTTAATTGTCCAAATATAGCTTTAGGTTATGAAGTCCCATCCTTGTTTTTCTCTCTTCATTTCACTCTTGTTTATGCTCTTGGGCCTGAGATCTGGATCATTTGTCCTTGGTCCCCAGCTAGAGAAGGAATTGTTTGGTCTCCCTGCTCCGTGCAGAGAGCTCATCATCTCCTGATATGAAGCTCAGAACTACACACTAAAGCAGTGCAGAATCTGAAAAATATAAAAGCTAAAACCTGAGGCATCAAGTTGCAGAGATGTTCCCTGTAGACATCTGCATTTTACTACACCCCTCCATGAGTCTGGCTGACATCTGTCCTGGAAAAACTGTGGCACTGTAACTTTTTCCTAAAAACATCTTTCTACAGGAGTCCCCAAGAGGGGTAACCCAGGGCTACTGCAGATAGAGAAGTCTTTGCATGCAATGAAGTGGGGATTAATTCCTCTTCTTTACTTTCTTTCCTTAAGATACTGAGTGAGGGGATGAAGGATATTTTCTCTCTAAAATCCTGATGTAGGTGAAGACTGTAGTTTTCCAACTGTTATTAGTTGAGGCAGAGTTGCAGGTATTTTAAAGGAAGTTTGGGCTGAGTTTGTGTCTGCTGTTGCTGTGTTGCAGATAAATTTTTTACAGCCTGTCTCTACAGACAAATGAAAAAAGTTTCTCCTATCCCAATTTCCTTGTAAATGATATAATTATCAGAATCATCACAGCAAAAACAAAAGTCTGCTGGATCACAGAGACATGAGGTTTGAATTTAATGTTTCTGGGGCTTCTACTTTCAAAAAATGCCTCTTCAAGAAGAACTGCAGCTCACTGTGCAGAGATGATAAGGATTAAAAATGCTTCCATTGTTCCAGCTTTTGTTTCCCCTCAGAGCTGGGATGTTGTTTGCTCCTGTCCCTTACAACACCTTCATCATCATCATCTGACAAAAACCTTATCACCAGCTCTGGTACTGATAGTCCTGCAGCAGTGATTTCTGCTCCTGTCACCACCAGCCCCTCTCTGTCTTTCAGCACACCAGCTGACGTGTGCTTACTGCTCACATTCCAGTGCTGATTTCCTCAGTGACTATTAACTTCCATGAGCACGAGATACAGGATAAAACTGAAGGCATGGCTGGTGGCTTTTGGGTGAGAATGTGCCCACACCTCGTCCTTTCCCAAGGTGCTTCTTGCTCCTGGCAGCTCCAAGGGTGCTGGCTGTGATGAGCAGCTCCAAGGAAGAGCTGGGAGCCAGATCTCTGCTGTCTTCAATTCACATTGATTTCTAGACTCTACATATTTCCCAGAGAGGCTTGATAGCCAGGAAATTTATGTTTAATGTGTTAGTCTTACTTTTCTCATCTGCCTTTTGGCACCTGCCTTAGTGCACAGACTGAAAATATCTGTGTTTCTCATGGGCCTGGCCCTGGCCTTGTCAGAGGAGGGACTGTGTCTCAGGATGGGCTGTCCCACCTCTGGGCTTATTTCCCCTGTGCTCAGCAACACTTTTTAATAGATGACAAACTTGTGGCATCATGTGCCAGACTCCTGTGATGGCCACATTTCCCCACGTGTGCCACAGCTCCTGTGATGGCAGCATTGCTCTGATGACAAAAGAGCTGAGTACAGGCCAAACAACCTCCTCAATTCCCTGCTTTCTGCACATTCAAGGGGGAATTTACAGGGAACAAAAGCCAACCAGGAACTGGCACAGCCAGAATGTGGGCTCCTGACTCTCTGCACTCTTTTCCTGCGGTGTTTCAGAGCAGAACGTGGAGCAGACGATTTGCCTTGTTCTGGGTTTGTTTTTTTGGGTAAAGGACTAACCTCACTGTGAGTGTTCCCAAACAAGAGGGTGGGGAGCAGGTGCTCAGGGTCTTCTGCAGGCAGGTTCCAAATACTCACTGGAAATTACATGTCAGTTCGAGTTACTGGAACTGCTCAGCACAAACTGCAGTGCAGGACATTGACAGCAGCTGTTACCACTGTAAGGATTCCTTTCCCAGCAAGGATGAGAGCATTCACATCAGCTCAGGGAGTTGTTTCTTGCTTTAAAATGACCCAAAAGATAGATTTAAAGTGAAGGAAAAAAAAAAAAAAAAGCCTAAACGGTCTGGAGGGAGCCTTGCTATTCCACAGGAATATTGGATCATGGTTTACTTTTGTGCTTTCCTGGGGCCTTGTTCCATCTGTATTTGCTTTTTGCTCTTCTTTGCTCAGTCATGGACATCTTGATTAAAGCTGTTCTTCCAGTGAGGAGGCAGAATGTAGCATCATTTAATCTGAGACTTTTCATGAATGTCTCAAAGCAAAAAGAAAAAAAAAAGTCATCATGCATTAGCTATTAGAATAAATAATTTATTTTGGTTATGGCTTATTGAAGAGGCTCACCATGCTGGTTTTATATTTGTCTCTTCCTAGTTTCCAAAGGGGTGCTGGGTTTGCTTTCAGACAGTAACCATGCTGAATGGGGAGAAGATGGAAAGATGAAGTGGGAAGAGGAGGCAGATCTTAGCAAGTGCCCTAAGCTCCACTCTGAGCCTCCAGCTGGGAGCTTTACTTCAGAGAACAGAATGAAAACAAGCAAACATTGGGCTCAGTAAGACAACACGATTAAGGAATTGGCAACTGAGATCTTGAGTTTTTTCTGTTATCTTTTCCATTTCTGCCATTTACTCTTCATTTGCCAGTGGAAAACAGGTAAGGAGTCTAGGGAGGAATGAGCTCCACAGGGAGCCAGCATTTTCTCAGGTCAAGGAAGAAAGTTGTCCTCAGCCCAGCCTCAGCCAGGCAGGTCTGGCAGCTCTGTGCCAGCCCCAGCAAGGGCTGCAGGGCAGATGTGCCCTGAGACCCAACAAGTAAAGTTCAAAAATCCAGAGCCTGGTTACTGCCAACCCGAGTGAGGTTTGGGACAACATGGGCATGACAGCAAATGCAGGAGCACGTCCTAGGTACAGCACTGGCCTTGTACCTGTGGTCTCCTTCACTAAATGTCATTTCTCCCCATTGCAAACAACAGACTCCACTGATCTTCCCATGGGAACACCCCATATACCCTTTCTCCTTCACTCAATTTTTTTTCTTCCCACCCTTGAAAGAGGCAGTGTTTATTTGGCTTGAGCTCGTAAGCAGAGCTTGGATGGGTTTATAAGCTCTGTGCCTGAACCCATAGACAATTACAAACATGGCTGGCTGCCTGGCTTTGTTAATTAGCTACCAGCAATGCTTCATTTTCCCCTCTGTGGTTTCCTTCTGAATTAGTAAGGCACTGCTCATTGGCTCTCTTCCTCTTTGGGATGCCACAGTTGAACATTATGGCATCCAGATATGCCAGTGAGCTGAGAGTATAAGCTTGATTTGTTTGGACAATAAAAAAGTAAAAGTTGCATTTAGGTAATTAAACAAAATAACAGCAAAGCTATTTTGTACTGTTGCAATCTGTCCTTCCCTGTCCCAGTGCTGCATTTTCTTGTTTCCTGATCTACTGGAAACAAAGGCTGGAGTAAGCATTGTCAATCATTTCTTGGTTTTGCTTTGAAATATTACATTTCTCTTCTAAATCTGGTTTCTAGTGGGTGTCAGCTGATGGGACAACACCCTAGCACTGATGATGTGCAGCAAGTCAGCATGTGCCAGTTTGGGCTCAATTCAACCAGAAATAGAACTTCCAGAAACTTGCTGCTTATTTAGTCACTCAACACAAAATAACCGCAGTAGCAACCAGGGTGGTAAAATAATGTTTTATTCCATGAATGAACAAACACTACCATGCCACATCCTAAAGTTCTTTCTACAAAAGATTGTGGACAGAGCAGATTTTTACGTTTCTCAGTTCAAGTTCATTCCAGGCTCTCGAGCCTGTTCAGCGTAGCAAAATCTGGACACGCAGCATTCTCATGGTCTGTTTGGCATTTTGCCAGATAAAGCAGATTTACACCGTAGTTCTTGTTCACACAATGTCGATGCACTGTAAATTAAAGGAGATAATCCCAACCAAACTAGGTAATTCCTGTGGTTTATCAATATATTTTTTCATGATGGTCAAAGTACAACCAACATTCAAAGCTTAAAATAAAGGTAAGAAAAAAGACACACTAAAGAACACAATGGAAACATCATCATTGCTGTCAGGATGTGAGTTTACCCACAGTACTATGGAAAAAGTAGGAACCGGCATTGACATTCAAGCTGTTAAAACAAGAAAAGAAATTACATTAATTGTTATATTTCCAAGCGAGTGCTTCTAAGGAGTCCTGATCAGCAAAGAAGTGTTACCGCATGCATGTCGAACACAAGACTAATATTGGATTGGGGATCTGACAAAGAGCTGACTTACATTCCTTTATATACAACAAAATGAAATATACAGTATTAATACTGGCTGTACATTTGGTCAGAATATTTTACAAGGAGCGACACTGTCAAAATTCTTATGAAGCAGTACGTGGAAGTGGATGGAGGTTGGATTCCTTTCTGAAAGCTGAATGTTTTCACAAGAAGTTTTAAAAGTTGCTTTCCACTGCTCAAATGAACAGTTAGACCTTTAAAAACAAAAAATCATCCTTTTTTTTTTTCTTTTTTTTTTTTTCCTTTTATGGTTGTCCAAACTAGTGTGAACAGAAGAGATAATTAAATGTGTTTGGAATATGTTAATCATTGACCTGGACTAAAACTAAGCCACACACAGCATGTGCAATAAATTCCTGCACATTGTCTCTGTTTAAATGGCTTTATAAGATGATGTGTGAGGTCTCTGGTACAAATTCCTGTACCACAGCCTCACCTAGCTGTTCCCTAACAGGTCACCAACCATTTGTTCCAACTCTAAAGAAAGAGAAAGAATAATCACGACTGTCGCATATTTTTCTACATTGCAATAAAAAATATCTCAAGGTAAGCTGATTTAGCTTATTTATGTGCATATTTTTCAAGGCTGCCAAAGAAAATACTCAGTCTTGCTGGCAAGAGCTATTTTGGGAACCCAAGAGTGAGTTTTTCTTTGCTTTATTCCAATAGATTTTTTTTAATATCTGGGTAGCTCAAGTCCTATTGCCTCATTAGACCCCTGAGGTCTAGAGTGAATTGGTTAATTTGTTTTATGTTTTTTCCCCATCCAGAACAAGCTGAGAAGCTAATAAGGTGAGCATGAGACCCAATGAACAACAGAAGTAAAAGCCATACAGAATTAACAGAATAATTACAGGAAGGTAAAGTTCGGTGTAACTATAGTGATATTTTGCACAATTGGGTTTGTGCATCCTGTAGCAATGACAAACCTCCTGGAGATGGAAAAGAGCAGGCAAGTGTATAAATCTGTATCTTTTAAAATAATGGTGCTATAATCTCCATTTATTAAATTAGATTTTTTGTTCTTGACACAGTGTGATTGCTAACTATAGTAACCTTAATGTGGATGATGGATTTCACTGCTACTGCTTGACTGCTTGACTGCAAAGAGACATCAAATCTTCCAGTCCTCAAAGTGGTTTCTTGGGGTGTTCCTTCAAGTTCAACGTCTTACCATTTTCACTGTAGAAGTCATTTTGTGGCAAAAAAAAAAAAAAAAAAAGAGACAGAAGAAAAGAAAAAAAACCAACCAAAGAAAAAGAAGATGTTGGTTGTGATGGATTTATTTCAGACAGCAGTTTCTGCTGAGTTCACCATGCTTAATGTTCTTCCATTTAGGAAGGAGTTGCTGTCAAGTAAAGCAGAGGAGCTGCTTTCAGTTTATTTTTTTTTTTTTTTAAATACATGCTAACAACATCTCTTTTTTCAGGAAAATGATCCAGTTGCATATTGTCAGAGAGATCTGCCTTGTGCTTAGCACGGACAAGTAGGGTTAATCATCTTCCTCCTCTTCTTTCAGTGGGGCTAGTGGGAGTTTGTCTGGAACCTGGAAACACTCCACAAAGAAGTTGACAATGGACTGGTACAAGTGCTGCTCAAAGGCTGCATTGCTGAAGTAATGGCTTTGATCAGGGTAAATCTGCAAAAAAAAAACCAGGTAAATACACACTTTTCAGAGCTGAAAGTCTCAGGACTGACCACCCAGACCTGCAGCTTGAGCTGCAAACACACTGCATCTCCTCAGCATCGTAGGGCTTCCCATGGATGCTCGTGAGCCCAGGGAAATTTGGGCATCACAGTGCTCTGAGTGCAGACTGGCATCTTCTTCACAAGGAACCTTTTTGAGGTAGAGGATTTTCCATTTAACTCTGTCCTGAATAGGTTCAGTCTAAGAAGAACCAGCCCACACTTTCCTTGTGAAAACCAAAAAATGTGCAGTTTTGGAGAGAAATGGCATTAGGTTATACTGACTAAAATGAGGGCTTTAAAGCAAAAATTTAATAAATATTGCTGGAGAAGTTATTAAATTGAAAAAAAATTAGTGAAGACAGAAATTAAATAGTTTAAAATCAACTTATCAATAAAGTGGAGCAGGTAACTTGAAGAGGATCATAAGGGGTTGCCTAGGCAGAGATGCTAGGGTGGGTCAGCAAAACAGAGATATAATTTTGTGGAAAGTGGAGCTGTGCCATTCACAGTGGGATATCAGATTTAGGTGACATATATATTTGTAACTTTTCTGACTGATTTAATTTAAAACCCTGTTTCCCAAAAAAGTCATCCTGAATTTGTTCTTTTCCCCAAAAAAGTCAACATGCATAAATTCCTTAGGGATATGTCCCTCACAACCTAATTCACTGTAATTCAATAATTGCTCTACAATGGTCCAGACCAAAACACTGATGCCATATAAGCATGGGGCTAATAAAAACCTGTTATATGCTGGTGCTACTTCTACTGCCAGCCTGAGTTTGCAAGTGGTTTTTCAAACCTTGCTTCATAACAGCAGCTTGAGTTCAAATATGGAAATAACTGTTCAAATAGGAAAAAAAGAAACATATACTGTACCTGCAAGCTGTAATTAGCCTTTGCCCTAATTAGGTGTGTGATAAGGTCTGTAGTATGCTGAAAATGGATTTTTTCTGTAAAAACAGATTGCAATCATTAAAGAGACAAATTTAATTAACAAAAATCAAAGCTATCACAAACACAGAATGAGCTCAAATGATTGGCTAACTTACCATCAGCAGTAGCATGAATGATCAAAAATGTCTGGTCCTTTAGTAATGAGACTCTGTGTGATAATTTGCTGATCTGTGAAGGTAAAGGTTGCAATAAGATTAAAAAACTTGCTAGAAATTAGCAATTTATATGGAGGCAATAGAAGTGCTTCTTTCCATTTAATACTTTATCACCAGGATAACAAGCAGACAGCAGCACAGCATATTCTCCTGGCTACTTATATAAATCCAGAGGTAAAACAGGTCCCTACCCTGTGCTGGCAGGGCAGGGTCAGCAGCAGGAAAATGTCAGAGACCCTCCTCTGTTCTGATAATGTTCAATAAAAGCCTGAACTGTAGAATACATGGAAAATATCAAAGTGAGTAAAAAACACTGATGAAAAGTGTGCCCAGGTGCCTATGCCTAATAACAATTCATACATCTGGAGGGACTTTGGTGTGTTTTTAAAGTCAACTTCAATGAGTTTTGACAGCCTGGGGGATGATCTGATATGAAATTCAAGTGTCCACTGTTGAGAACACCTTTGCCCTCAGCAGTCTTTCAGATGCACAAGGGAATATAAATACAAACAATTTCTAAAAGAAAAAAAAGCTTTCACACTAATGTAGAGATTATGAGTGCGAAGTTTGAGAGACAATGAAATCACAGTTTAGGCAGCCAGGATAAATCTTCCCTTGTGAGGGCACAGGGTGGTATCTGCTTTCTCTGTGAGAACAGTGCCAGACCTTTGCTACCTTCACATCTTCTGGCTGGAGACAAGGCTTAGAAGCTGAACTAGATTTTCTCTATAACAAATTTTGTTAGTGTGACTATTCTTTATCTGTTTTTGCTTCCATGTAATTTCAGCACAGGATCCAACTGATCCCATCATGTGTATCAAGCAATGTCTTTATTAACTGGTGCTGTGTTTCCTTTTCTATGTCCTGCTCAGTTCTGGCACAGAGTTTTGCCTCTCTGAAATACCACAAAGTTTGAGAAAGTCAAGCTGAGTTTCACTTGAATTTGTTTGTCTCAGAGAGAATCAAAGTGGCAAGACCATTGGCAAGAACTTTCAAGGAGGTCGTGACACTGTGTCCTCTTGGGCACATTTGAGTCACTCAGCTCCTTCAATCTCTAAAACTATATTTACCCAATTTAGAGAGTCAGACACAAGGGCTAATCAATAAAAACTTTATCCATGATTACTATTAAGACAAGAAAAGCAGTAAGCAGGCTGAAGGACACCTTCAGAGCTTCACTAGTGAGTCGTGAGTCCCTCTTGCACAACCTTGCTTCCTCCCCAAAGGAGAACACATGGAGGGAGAGTTAAGACTCAGTTCACATTTTATCAGGGAAATGCAGTGTCCATGCAGTTACCTCGTATGCTCTGTTATCAACCCCGTGCAAGCCCAAGTATCTTTCAGAAAAGGCTGAAGCTTGAAGAGAAAAAAAGAAAATATCACTTTCAGTCATGAATACACTGATGCTTCTGAGTCAAATACGGCAAATGCTAAAAAGCACCTTATTTTCTAACATGGCCCTAATTATAGAGGATGCATTTCTAAAAGTTTTTGAAAATGCACTAAGGATATGTGTGGCACCACAGTCTGTCTTTATCACCATATCCTTCTGGTCTCTAAATAAGTCACAGAAAAACCTTTTTTTTTCTTTCTTTATTAATGCAACTGAGATAGAAGAGTTCTATCATGTTGTGTCCCTTTCTCCTTTCACACAGGGCCTTCTCCATCAGCAACAAATTTCTTTTGGTCTCAGGGAAAACTGTACAGCTCCTGAAGTCTGGCTGAAAACCACTGACTTCCCTGGCAGCCCCTGATTTTCACTGGCATTAAGTGCAAAGGGAACTGCAATCCCTGAGAGAAAGGACCACCATGTGCTGTGGTCAGAGGCAGGATGGGCTGGGCAGACTGGACCTCAGCTTGCATGGATGGGTGCCCCAGGCAGCAAGGAAGCATGTCCAAGGCAGTGGGGGTGGTTGGTGGCAAAGGCTGGAGGGGTTTAAAGACAATTCTACTTTATTTAAAAGTACCAATAATGTGATTTGATTACTCTGATTACCATGGCTTGTCCCATTGGTGCCAGCAAAACTGCTTTAATGGGGAAAAGGAGTTTATGGCTACTCCTAAAAAGACACAGAATACAAAATAAGAAGGATCTTGGGAAAGAAAGGTGGCAAGTGTGAAAGAATAAGGAAGAAATATAATCTGTGGTCAGCAGGAGGGTCTGTGGACTGGGGAAGGGATTTACCATATAGTCTGAAGTCTGTCACTGGGGAAAGAGCAGCTCCACAAGCAAACACCTGGTTGTCTTCACCAGCTGGAAGCATGTAAGTGCTCAGGTAACCACCATAATCCTGGAACAGAAACAGGACAGGGGCATCACTGTTCCTGCTGGGAGGCACTGCTGCTTTTGGGTACAGAAACAGGGCAGCTGAGACATTGCAGCAAATGCTTGGCCATTACAGAGCCTTTAACACCTTGCCCTGGAAAAACACAAACCAAGGGACAGCTCCCTTGTTGTGACATTCACATTCTCTGAACAGAGACATATTTCTGTCCCTCAAGAGAAACACAGAGAGAAGAAGAGAAAACAAACTTTATCTCTGCTCCTTTGTTCTCCCCATGTGGAATGTGGTGTGGAGATTGTTTACCTGCAGTGATTGCTGGGTTGGGTTCTGGTGAAGGTTGCTTGGGTTCAGTGACCAATGGATCCAGCTGTGGCTCTGGCTCTCAGCACAGAGTCACGAGTTTGTTTGTTAGATAGGTAAGTAAGAAGTAAGTATGTAGAATAGGATAGTATCTCTTTAAATAGTATATTAATGTAATATAGTATAGTTTTAATAAAGCTATCCTTCAGCCTTCTGATCTGGAGCCAGACACCATTTCTCCCCTGAGTCAGGGTCTGCTGCACTTTTTACTATACTTATATTTTTTACTATACCTGGTGACATGGCTGGCACCCTCCTGAAGGCAGGAGGGTTGTGTGCCCAAGAGCTGGCCCTTTTCATCTCACTTTATGGCTGTAGCTCTAACCAGATACGTTAATTCTCCAATATGTTTACCCCAGACTTTCTCTACTTAAAATGAGCATCACAATTTCAGCGTCTGCTGCCAGCCTGTTAACAATTCCCTGCAGAGATGCTGCTCTATGTGCAGCTCTCCTCGCCCACTCCAAGCCCTTGTCTCCCAAGTAAACAATTTCTACTTGCAGTCCCACTCTCATCTCAAACTGTGTGTACTTTACAGTGGCTGTTTCTCAGCCAGGCACACACAGCAAATCAGCCTCCAAAATCCACAGGGTTGTTGTACACATGAGTTAGATGTACCCATGATCCCACAGGCTTTAGGAGACAAGGTGAAAACGATATGAAAGTTTGCAATGGGAAAAAATAATGAACTATCTGATGATGTTTTCTGAGCAACAGTCACTTTTTGCACTTGGGAGTTAATTTAAGAGAAGTCATTGCTGAAATGAAAGCCTCCATCTTTAACATCACTGAGCAAGGTGCAGGCTATCCAAAAAATAAATAATAATAAAAAAATCACTACTAACATTCAATTAGTCAGTGTTTAACTCAGCTGTTTAGCCATATCAGCCAGCTGGGACAGCACAGAGGAGCAATGTCAGAACATTACCTTCCCAAACACACCAACTCTTGTTTTATCAATGAAATGCTCCTGCAGCATTGTCCTAGAACACGAGAGAGGAAAAGCAATGGGTTAAAAATATTTTTCCCTTCAAGAGCAAAACCAGTGTGATTTTAATCAGCTTTAAATTAAACTGTCCCCAGGAAAAAAAATCATAGAATGGTTTGAGTTGAAAGGGACCTTAAAGCTCATCCAGTTTGACTTCTCTGCTATGGGCAAGGACACCTTCCACTATCCCAGGTCACTCCAAGCCCCATCCAACCTGGCCTTGAATACTTCCTAGGGATGGGACATCCACAGCTTCTCTGGGCACCCTGTGACATTTCTCACACCCTCTCAATTAAGATTTTCTTCCCAATATCTAATCTAAACCTGCCCCTTTTCAGTTTAAAGCCCTTTCCTCTTGATGCAGACAATCTAAATCAGGTGAAGCTGCTTTCACATGAATCTCTCTGATTTAATCTTGCAACCTCATGTGTTGGATTTGACCAAGCAATAGAAACAAATAACCTGCACTACTTCTGGAAGCTATTGCACAGCTATTGCAATACTCTGATAGTGGTTTTAACGTGATTATGAACAGAATAAATCTAACAATATGACAGGACTTGACATTTAGGGTTTTGCCCTGGTTATTCTGTTTAAAAAGTTTAAGGATTTAAAGATGGATTTTTTTTCCAACTACCAGGCAAGCAAAAGATTAATGTAGGAACAGATATTCAAGCTTACTTGTTTGTAGCTGCATGACTGTACAGAGCTAAAAATAAATAGGCTTTGAACATGTGATACAGATAAGTGTGCTCTAATTTAGCTCTGTTTAAGGCTTGTTTTTCTCCCTTCGCTCTGGTTGACATGAACTCCCATGTACAACATCATCCCTCCCTCCCTTCCCCTCTCCCTGCTCTACCCCACACACCATTAACGCAACCAGGACTAACGAGTCTTGGGTTAATTATCATAATGAATTAATTTCTTCAATAACAGTGCCATTCACCGGACAGCTTCCAGCTGATCCTTCTCTTCCAGAAGGCCCAGCCTCCTCTTGACCTCGTGCAGTAACTTGGCGCCCTGGAAGCCGCTGCCGCGCCCGTCGAACTTGAGCACGATGGCGCTGTGGGAGCTGACCATGACGCTCTCCCACGACACCTCAAACCTCTCCGTGACACTCTGGCTGCCAGGTGTCCCATCTCTGGAACAGAAACGGACATTGAGGAAAGGCAACAACACCAAAACCCCCCCAGGGCTGTGGGATTGCCGTGGGATGGGCACCCACAGCCCTGTTGGGCAGGGCAAAGGAAGACAGATTTCTGCAAGGATGGCGTGCAGGAGGGTGATTGTGTGGGGTGGGTTTTGAGGCTGGGTGGAAGCTGCAGGTTGGATCTGCCTCCCTCTGTGCACAGCAGCCTCTAAGCTGAGGTTTGAACCACACCAGCAAGCACATCTCTAACTGGTCAGGATTCCTGCCGTGAGTAACCAGGTATCAGTTGAGTTGTCCCCTTTTTATGCCCACTCTAATGTATATCTATTTCCTACATTCCCCAAAGCTCTTTTTAAATTTCTGCTGAAGTGGTTCTGCTTCACACAAGTACAGAGGGAAAGGACTTTTTGGAAGTTATAAAAAACAGCTTAATTATGTCCAGTTTGGCCCAAAATTGGTGAGAAGGGAAAAGTAGTGGGCAAGACCTCCTCTTCACCTTTCTGCTTAGGGTCTGAGCCTGTACAGGGGAACTATCTTGAGAAACACAGACCCTACTTCATCCAGGCAGCTCAGAAAAAACAAGGGATGATGATGATAACTTTAAGCAATATCTTTAGGATGGGATTACTGTAGAGCCACTGGCAATTTTATCCACTTTTTTGTCCTTTTTGGGGTTCTCAGAGACGCTAGGCCCTTCACTACAGGACTTTAATGCACAAGTGACTCCATCACTTGCATTTATCCAAGCGAGACCCCAGCCCACCCAGCTCCAGAGGCAGCCTAATCAAGTGCTGGGTGCTTGATAAGAACCAATCTTCCTCGAGCACTTTGGTAATGAAGCATGTTTTCTCCACAGTAATTAATTCCATGATGAAACAACACGCTCCCTGCAGGGGCTTTGTCCTTCATGGAGAGTTGTGCAGGGTGGCACAGGCCTTCACCAGGCATTCATCCCTCCTGCATGAGGCTTTTCTCTCATGGGCTGTTCCCTGGCAGGCAGCAGGGGATGCACTGGGATGCAGCCAGGGCCAAACACGTTCTTCCAAGGTCAGTGAATTCTCTCCCGCAGTTTCTTTCCAAATTGCCAAAAAACCCCACTCAGTAATGTGTATTATTATTACTAAATGTTGCATAAAGAAATACCCATCTGCTCTGCCTGCCAGGAGGAAAACCTACCTATTTAATATAAATGCAAACTCTGTGGAGATATTCAAAGGTTTCCAGCTCTCTCTTTAGTGTAACTTCAGCCAACACCAGCACTTAAAAGGGAATGATTTCTGCATGAGGGCACCTAAAATTTAAACTCTAGTAAGCCTGACTGAACTCCACTCTAAAATTACCTGTTAATCACAGGGTGGGTGCCCTAAGCACTGGGACAGGAAGCCAAAATATATCTTGTGTTCCTCCTCCTCCCATTTCTGCCCCACAAGTGATTGACGTGTGCATGAAATGCCTTCACAAAATCACAATTTTACTCTGCAGCATTTCAAAAGGGTGCTCTCCTGAGAGCTGAAAACCTTGGCTCAAAGATGGGAAAGAAGGGATGCACATCTGGCCTCTCTCAGCTGTGAAGTGAGATGGGGTAGGAACCAATGTTCTGGACTCTGGCATTCCTTGTACAAAACATATCTTAAAAGTTTCTGATCATGGCCAAGGTTTCCAAGCTGCCCTGATGATGTGGACAGAAAGAAAGGACAAGAGAGAACTTACACAACCAAAAGCAAGGGGTAGTGAGCGGTGTCTGCAAAGGTTGCTGGCTTTAAGATCTGCATTGGCAATCCTAAGCAAAAAAAGAACAAATAACAACATGTCTTTGATGTGGGAATGCTGACATGATTCCAAAAGATTTTTCTGGTGTTCTGGCCACAGATAAGTAGGATCAAAATGGCATGTCTTCAGAGGCTGTGGCAAATACCACCTTAGAAACACAGATGCTGCCAAAGAAAAGACCCATATTGTGATAGCTGAGGTGACAAGAAATGTAAATGGGGAGTACAGTGCGAGCTGCTCAGTCATGCATCACTTTTACAGCGTTCAGTTAACATCTGTCAATAGCTACAATTTTCCTTTTTTGGCAGCTGGATGAGTGACGCAGACAGAAATCAATATTTCAGGGCAGCAGAGAAGGAGGAAAATGGGCAATGAAATGGTAATTTAAAACCCAATTAAGTATGGCGGCTGGGGCAGAGAAATTGAATTATTTTGCTATAATGGTGTCAAGACAGAGGGAGAAGCAAGTAGGAGAAACAATCCTAACTTCCAAAGGGTTAAATTTTGTTTTAAACAGGAGGGGAAGGTGCTGAAGCCCAAGTTACACTGGTATGGAACCAATGTAAAGGAGGGGTGTGATCACTAAAGCGTCTTTTAACTGAATGTCATTCCTGTGGCTTTGTATCTGTACCCAAAATTGCCTCCATAAAAACACTCTCTGCATCAATGACAGCACATTTAGTTTTGAAATGTTAACTACAATCTAGATTAGCAAAGGCTCAGCAATTAAATCAGTATTAGGAGCATTTTCAGTAGATTAATACACAGATTAGCAGCATGGCTTAAGTGGTTTGCTTTGCAATCTTTGCCTGACACTCTGCCTAATTAGTTATTCCATCTGAATGCTAATAGCTGCAAATTGGATCAATGGCCCAGGGACAGCCAAAAAGGCCATCACTTGACTTTAAATATTACAAAGTGCTACGTGCAGTGTTCTCAAGGCTGCTTAGCCCAAAGCTTTGGAAACACAGGGATGGCCAGTTTGCATTTATTACACACAAGTATATTTTTGGTTAAATGAGAAGAATTGCAATGAGGCCTGCATTTAAAAAATTTAGTATCAAGCTGATTTATCCCTAATAAACTGCCAGTCTCACATGAGTTTGCTCATGGTGGGAAATATTGGTTCTTTATCCATCCTTTCCTGTCCATAAAACTTGGAAGTGCATGTCTGTTCCTGACATTTTATGCACTGGTTTATGTTCCTTATGCCCATGTGGCAAACAGAACATTTTAGGGCCATCGTTATCCTTTTCAAATGGCAACCATCTCTCAGCCTTTGCTTCACATTTTGTAACATCTGGAAATGGCTGCAATCAGTAACCTGCTCCCAGCACAGCTTGCTGCTTTCACTTCACTGCCTGTGGCCTGAGAAATGCAAACCTTCCTGGCATGGGAAACATCATGGGCCACACTCTGAACCCAGAGCCTTTGGGGTTTTGTTCTAGACTTGCCACCATACATGCAGGCTAGGATTTTGGAGAGCCTTTGTGCATTTCTGAATATGTGGGTTTTCCCCATATGGGGAAGGTATCTGCTAACAGCCAGAGGAGATGTTTTTTAGGTTGTTTCAGGTACAGCTATAGAGACAGGCTTACACTTTGGCTGTTTGCCACCAGGCTTTTCTCTCCCACTTTGGGATATATATATATATATATATATACATACATACATATATCTGGGGAATGATTATACAACTGGTAGAAATAACACACCAGCTGCAGGTGCAAACTGCTCTAAGTGTCTGCTTTTTTTACTCCAGGTGAAATCTCCTTTGTCTTTCCTCATAAAGTTTTATTTTTTAATTTTTTTTTTAACCCTCCCAAATCATGGCTTTTTCAAAGAATCCTGAGTGACTCCAAAGGGCAGTCATGCAAGAGTCATCTTCATTCACTGCAGCTCAGATTGTGCACAGCTGTAGGCAGCAAGCACACACATTATCCCACTCCAAACCCATTTCAAATGACACACACACACCCAGGGCAAATGCTTCCAACAATGGGGCACCCCACCATGTCATTTCCTAGAGTGGCTTTTTCTTCACTGAAAAAGTTTTAAGAGGAAAAAAAAAGAACCCCAACCCTATAATTTTGCCTTTCTTCAGCTGAATTCTCATCAAATTCTGCCTCTCTAATAACCTCCTTATGTAGCACATTCCAGGAGAGTGCTTTGCAAACTGTGAGAGTTTATTGAGAGTCAAAGTCATTTTTCCTCCTGCCAGTCTAGCCAGGATGGCTCTATCATTTCACAGCTATAGCAGTGAAAGAGAAAAATAAGTGAGAAGAAAGGTGCTACTTACTGTAATCATCTATCTTGATTTCCATGTATTCTACCTTAGGCATTTGCCTGTCATTTACAGCCAGCTGCACGTTTTCATTTACCTCCAGCTCAAAAATTTCTGAAAGAAGGACAAGATCACAAAAACTTTTAGCACAGTTTGTGAAAAAAGTGCATTTTAACATTTTATAGTCACCTTGATATATATAAAACAAGTTTCTTTACAAACAGATTTCTTTCTAGACCTCACAGATGTCTAATTCAGTTAAATCTTTGAAACCCCTTCCAAGTTCTGCATTGGCAAAAAGCTATAGTCCTGAAATCAGTGACATTCAGCTGATTTGCAGGAGGTGGGAAGGTGACCTGCTCTGTGGGACACTACCATGGGTCCAGTCCGACATCCACTCACCATGCAAAGATAGATCTAAATGAAGAGGTCCTCAAGGCTGTGTCCAAATTATACATAATAAATAGGAAGGGAGGAGACTATGGAGAGATTCAGCCAATATTGTACTGCTGTGCAAGATAAAATCCATGGGAAGGGAAGCCATGGGGACAGGAGAGTGCATAAAGCTCATACAAACCTGCAACACCAGGTTTTGCAGAAGTCTTGATTTTGGAATGTTTCAAAAATGTTTCATTTCGCTTGTGTGTCTGACCCAAGGACTGCTGGGTCTGAAATAGAGGATTCCTTCCTCCTTCCTGGGATTTAACCTTTATCCCCTCATCCTGGCCATGTGCTCTACCTGCTGGATTTCTTCTAGAAAAAGCAGCCACCTCCAGCAGCAGAAAGAATAAATCCTTCCCAGCTGGCAGGGAGGAGGTCCCTCTTTAGGGGACACTTCAGGTTGTGTGTCTAACACGGTGGGAAGTGTCTCCCTGTGTGGGCAAAGATCCTGAGCCCCATGGAGGGGGGATTCAAGGGCTGGGGTGAGGGAATCCTGTCTAGGGGTGCTCATTCCCCTGGCATCAGTCTGGGTGTGAACCAGGGGGATCCAGGGCATTATCTCTGCCACATAAACCCAAGGAGGGTGTGAGATTTCACATCACACTTTGTGTGTGTGTCACTGACTGTAACTTCCCTTTTGAGACACACTGATAAATAGATATGTAACCCCAGCTCCTCAAATAATACTTCTGGTACCTGATTATCCTGCTCTCGCTGCCCATCTCTGCTGGGCAGGCAGACAAAACCTTGCCCTTCCCAGTTAATATATTTCAGAGATCTTTCAGCAGCACTATATTGGTTCAGTGACTATTCACCCTGCTTCTGCAAAGCCTGGCTCTTTATCAAAGCCATAACCCCCACAAAAGTGGCAAAGCAACAGCCTATTACATTTAGTTAAATATTAAGATTCTCATTTAATTATGGCACACACAAGTAGCTTTATCAGCAGAAAGGGGCTTGCCACGTAGGGGAATTTAGTCAAGCCCTTTTATTTGTTCATATAATTGCATTCACAGAAAGCCAAGAAGACTGGTGAGGAAATAAAAAGATTGGCATATCTCCTAAAGGACTTTCCTTTTTGCTTTAGGACCACAGGGAGCTTGAGTCTGTGGAGTACAAATGGTCATTGCTTAATTAAATGTAAGCATTCTCTAATATTCAGTGCAACTCACTATTATCAGATTATTGCAGAATACAGAGGTAGACTCTCTTTTATAGAGTAATGGGCTCATATTAAATAATGAAATTCAGTAACATGCAACTGTCAGTTGCCCTTTATTCAAAAGCAAAAGAATGAGAGGGTAAAATAGAAAAGAACCAAGGGGAATGTTATTTGTATGCAGAAGATCCTGAATTTCAGTAGAGGATGTGTTCTGCACATGAGTAGATTGAGTTCTCTGTGTAATAGATACTGCCCATATGCATCTGTCAAAATAAAACTAGTCCTGGTGTGTTTTGTTTTGGTTTTTTAAGCCCTTAATTTACTGTTTCTGTTTTATATTGTCTATCATTTTATTCACCTAAAAGTATTTTATAAAACTGTACAGGAGGGTATAACACCACTCAGGAGAGCACTATCCCATGCTGGTATAGCCACTCAGACACTTTCCATGTCTACGGTAAAATTCAGGTGTTTTATTTAAAGTGGGGGAGGAAGAAAGTGACTTTGGAGCTGCAGGTCAGGGTGAAGAAACTCTCCTGGCCTTGTGGGCATCAGCTGGGCTGCTCTGGGGGTATCCTTGGACAGGGCACTGCCAACATCAGGCTCTGCTGGGAAGAAGAACGACCTGACACTCCCTTGTGCCAAAAGCCTTTCCTGTGACACTCACCACCTTCAGTGGGAAATGAAGCAGGTCAGCATTTCACAGTAAATCCTTAGTATGAGTGCCAAATTTCTTTGTTTGCTCACTCTTTTCTTTTTTTCTTTCGAGACAATAGCATTGAGCTGCTGTAAATCCAGATAAACAAAACTTATACTTGATACACTGCCTTTGACTGTGTATAAAGCAGATAGAAATAGCTGGGCTAAATTCTTCATCCAACAAAATGTTGGGAGCAGATAAATCCTGGTTTCGTGCAAGACTCAGTGCCACACTCCAACAGAGTGGAACCCCTGAAACTCCACGGTTTTTTGGACTCTACATTGCCAGTCTGGTAAAGGCTATAGAGAGTGACAAATATTTTGAGGGAAGAAACCTATTTTTGGAATAATTCCAGCTTTGTATTGATGCAAATCATTAGCATGACAAAGCTTTTCCAAACAATAAGTGCTACAATCTCCATGGACAATCAGGGAACCAGTCAGAGGCACCACTTCTGGGACTCACTCCTCTGCATTATCTCTGATAATTCATATCAGAATGATTTTATTAAAACCACAGATTAGGCTAAATATTTCTTATATTTATCTTATTTCTTATATATGGGATGCAAAACAAAATCAGAGGAAGACTAACAAAAAGAGAGATTTGAATTATGCATTTTTTTGAGAAAGAGGATAACAAACATGCCCCAACCACTCTTTTCTCCCCAAACAGCAGCTGTTTGATGGCAGTACAACAGTTCTGCAAGTCCCACTGCCTTGCACAAAACTTGCATTTAGGCAGAGTCTGGGTTCCCCAGGAGTGTAAGTTTAGCAAAAAGCAGCCACATCTCACTGTCCTGCCTGGCTGCTTTTCTCTGAAGAGTTGCAAAGCTCAAGCCCGTTCTTACTCTGTGCATCTGTTGTGTTGTGAACAGTCACCATCGGGACACGGGGACCTTGAAAAGGAGAAGAAAAGAACTTGGTTAAATTTCTGTCAAAACACACACAGACACACGTGAACCTGGTTTTGAATTCCATGGAGCTGAAGGCTCTTGAGACTCGCTTTTCATGCAAGAGTAATCTAAAAAGCAAATCACACTGGTGTTAGAAAGAGTTTATGACTAGATGACAGTACTGTAGACTCAAAGACATGTAAGGTTTCAAAGCTCTTTCCCAACAGACCACTAAATGCATCTCTCCCTAATTTGTAAACATTATAATTAGCACAAACACAATTAAATCACTTGCCTTTAAAATTATTCTAATGACACCCAAACATCACAGCACAAAGCATTTACATTTTGTATGCTGTGGATAAATATTGCTGTTTTGCATATTATTTTCTCTTAATGAATTAAACACCAGCTTGGCTCTCACACTAGAAAGGGCCATATATTTTGTCTTAAAATGCAACATTTGGGCATTGAATTCAGTCAGTGTTATACAAAGAGGATTATCATTACTATGCAGTGTACATGAATGAGCCACACAATTCACTGCCCCAGGATGCTGCAGCATTCAGGATGCCACAATTTTAACCACAGGATGCTGTAGGGTGCTTTAGTCCTTAGCACAGTGATCGGGGTTCATCTTCTTGTTCAGAAAGCCACCAGGTGGCTGATTGATAGAAAAATGGGATGGTACATGAGATCAAGCTCATATTATGGTTGTCAGCTTCCTTCTCCCTGCTCTTCAGCTGTCATCCTGGACTGCTCTTGGACACAGGACGCTGGGCCATGGTGGGCTGACCCAGGACAGACACTCACAGTTGCTCCCATACCTGTTTGTAGGTTTTTCCTTGAGACTGACGGTACTGCTCAGGAGAGTGAAAGTAGCCCTGCAGTGATGAAATGGTGAATTCTCCACCTCAGAGACAGTGAATATCTTACTTTCCTTCCCTTTCCCCACAGTAATGTGGTAGAACAGCAGCAAGTGTGAGCAGCTGGGGCAAGCAGTGTGCCCAGCAAGGATCCCAACAGCGGGGCCAGGAGGTTCCCATGCCGTGTGTGTGGGAAGATCCCAGAATCAGAGACCCATGGAATCATCTAGGTTGGAAAACACCTCTAAGATGATTGAGTCCAACCATTAACCCAGCACTGCCAAGCCCAGCACTAAACCAGGTCACTCAGTGCCACATTTACTTGTCTTTTAAATACTTCCAGGAGTGGCTCCATCACTTCCCTGGTTAGCCTATTCCAATGCTTGGGAAACCTTTTGGATAAAGGATTTTTCCTAATACTCAATCTAAATCCCCCCTGGTGAAAGTTGAGGCCATTTCCTCTTGCCCTATCATTATTCCTTGGGAGGAGAGATCCATCCCACCTGGCTGCACCCTTCTTTCAGGAGGTTGTAGAGAGTGGAAAGATCTCCCTGAGTTTCTTCTTCTCTTAGACACCCCCAGCTCCCTCAGACAGGACTTGTGCTCCAGACCCTTCCCCAACTCCATTGCCCTTCCCTGGACAGGTTCCAGCACCTCAGTGTCTTCCTTGTTGTGAGATACCCAAAACTGAACACTGAATATCAAAAAAAACAACGTTCTTTAAGCTTCAAAAGTAAGACAGCTTTAAGAGACCGACATTCCCTGAGATTTCAACCCTTTTAAGTTGCTTAAACCCTTCAACCTACAAGCAAATCCTGTGGGATCATCACTTGTGCAATGGCAATTTGTGTAGGGCTGGCTGAGAAAATTCCCCTGAAATGCTGTAATTGGGAGTGTTCACACAAACGGCAACAAAAGCATGTTCCTGTGAGCCATTCACACTGGTTTGTTACATTAAATAAGTTCTTGAGAGCAAGAAAAGCTTTAAGGTGCTATAATTGTGTCAGTGGTTTTCCCTGTGCTGCCAAGAACCCACATCCCATTGCAGGCAGAGTGTTTCACCCAGACTTTACCTTTACAAAGAAAAGGCAGAAAATTATTTTATTTATAATTAGGCTGACTAATATGGCAGCCTGATTTTATTTCCTTGTAATTGACAATCTCCTTCTGTGACAATCAAATTTTTTTATTAGCACCATTTTTTAGAATGCAGGAAGGTGAATTATAATGCACTAAGGAAAACAGGTTTACTCACCAGGATTTAGCTGAATTTACCTTTCTTCTGCTGATATCCATTGATATGCTGACAATATTTATTTATAAACCTTCCCTGCTTTTCCCCTGCAGTCCCAGAAGCCAGACTGCTGGAAAAGCGGGCAAACTTAATAAATATGGGCATGATAAAATAATCACTGAAAATAAAAGGAATCCTCCCAAATGGCTTCAGTTGGAGCTGGAGCAGTCCTTTAATTAACATTGAAATGCCAAGAAAAAGAAAAGGATAAAGAGAGAAATACAATGCATAGAATCCTTTTCTTTTCTAACATATTTTTCCTCTTTTTTTTTTTTTTTTTTTGTTGTTGCTGGAACTGAAAAAGCTGTGAGAAATTAATAAATAAAGAGAAATTCTAGTGTGTACTTTACAAAGTTGCATATATTATATATTGTGCTAGTCTCTCTCTAACTACTTCTACTGTTATTGTGTCATCTCCCCAAATCAAAGTTTTTAAGCGAAGTCTTATATAAAGATACTCAGTTTGAGGTGATACAAAATAAAAAAAAAATAAAATTAACAAGTATCCTTGAAAAAGTAGATTTTTGACTTGCCTAGTTTTTATTTTTTAACAAACAAGGAAAAATAATAAAGACAGAAAACTACAGAGTAGAATCATCTTAATATTAAATATTCTCAGTAATAACACTCCAGCTAGAGAATCCATTTCACTTGTGAGCAGGCTGAAAGTCATCAAGAAGAAAAAGTCACTTTCTTAGGAATGACATAAATTGCTTATTTCAGTGCCAGTTTTTAAAGTAAAACAACCCAGTTACATGCTAGACTGTGTCTTTTAATGCACGCACATCAGAAGTCTTTCAACACTCACAAGTTGAGTGCCTAATGCCTGACAGGGACAGAAAGAATTCCTTGAAAGGAGAATTGTATATTCATTAACTGCCTCTGCAGCTTTATTTTTAAACCTGTGTTGGTGTGACAGTCCCATTACACATGCCATCTGCTAAATGCCATCCTCTGTCATGTGTGGATCTGAGAGGGAAACCTAATTTGTTCAATGAGCTGCTGGGAGCTGACCGAAGCAGGGCGAGGACATCCCCTGCTCGGTGTCTCCTTCCTCCAGAGCCCGTCCAGAGGTGCTTTGATGGGGACTCCTGAGCCCCAGCACGTTCTGCTGCTTCTGCCCTTTAATCTGCACTGATGATCCCCCTGTGTCTACCTGCCCTCCTCAGAAACCGTGTGAGTGCTCTGCCTCTTGCTCACAGAGATCCTGAGAGCATGGCAGCGGTGGCATCCTTGAAGGGCAAAACTCACTTGTGCTCCTTGAAGGGTAAAACACAAAGTACTTTGAGAAAGTAAAGCAGATACTGAGATTTTCCCTGATTTGCAAAGTAAGAGAGACCCAGCTCATACCTTATAACCTCATGACCGTTCCCAAAATCAGGGGCAGGCCACTTTCTGCATGACACGGTGAAGATGATGCTGCTGGATTTGTTGCTCCGGAGGGGTGGGTACAAGCAAGGCTGTGACACTCCCCAAGGTGTGGGACCAGGCACTGATGTTCCCTGACCCACATCCACAAAATTTTTAGAGTTGGCACCATACAGGGCCCTGCTATCCCTCTCTGCATCCCTGTGTTGAGTGGGATGGGGTTGAATGTCATTGCAGGCTCCACTCCCCTCTCCTGCCTCCAGCATTGTACCAGCCAACTCCAGCATCCTGACAGAAGTTTGAATGATGTTTCTTTATTTATAGCTTCAAAGAAAGGAGAAAAATGATTGACAGAACTTCTGTGTATAGACACACCCTGTATATCACAGATAGCTGCATGGTTAATAATGCTGCACAAGACTCTAGTTACATGAATTAGGTTTTCAATTAATACAGCTGAAAGTCCGGGTTTGTCATAGGCCTTTGACTTTAAAACCATTATTGTAATTATCCATGCAAGAAGTAAATTGAGCTATATTGCTATAATGACAACAGGCAAATTTATCACCCAGGAAATGCTACCCATCACAATCTGAATGGGCACAGAAGCTCAGTGCCTCAGTAATTCGATAAGAAAAAGCACTGGCCATGGTTTTTCATCAATTTTTAAGCAGCTTTTATTTCCAAGAGGGTTTTGCTTAAACATGAAGAGAAAGAAGCAACTCTAGATATTTAGATGATAAGGTATACATTTCTAAAATAAAAATGGAAAATTATTTAACAGCCTTGAAGATAATATTTACCAGACACTTGTTTTGTAATACTTTTTTATATACCAGAGTATTCCTGATGTGTTCATGATCTAAACAGCATAGGGAATTATATCAGTTAATAGAACTTTAAAATGAAAGTAGTGATTATAAAAAGAATATGAAGGAAAATTGAAGAACAGTTAATAAAAATTATAGAAGTGTTTAAAAATGATAAAAAGAGGAATTGTCTTATTCTTCTCATCTATATTCTCAAAGGCTTCAATGTTGCAGATAAATTCAGACCAGAAGCTAAATTCACAGTGTGTAAACAATGAAAATTCAAATACTCTCTGCCAGCGCCACCAGCATATCTCTTAAGCACTGATGAATGATTTAAAAGAGCAGCTGCAAGCAATGGGAGCTGAAAGGGTCTGGCTCTGCACAAGTGAGATAATTGGCAACAGCCATCTCTGTGTACAGATTCCAGATCTCTTTATTTGCTAATCCATGAATTATTTATATGTGCCACATAAAGTTCATATGTTGGGGTGATATTATCAGCCTAATAAATAAAGACATGGGGAGCTCCGTGAACCACTGCTCACAATTAAAATATTTCCCCAATTTGCAGTATTTTCCAGCTGATGCTATGGACAGATGTTTGTGCTGTTTGCTTTGGCAACCTTGTTGATATAAACATCAAATAGATTTATGCTGCTATTC